GAGTTAGGCTTTCCAAACTTAGTTACTGTATTTTACAATTCCTAACACTCTTAGCCTATATTCTCTGATACACAACACTCTGTTAATTCTTCCTGGCCTCTAATGTGTCTGTTGGCTTTACAATATTTGTTCTTATTATTTCTTTGATCTTATTCTCAAGTTTCATTCCTCACTTTACTCTTGTTATTTAGTTATTATAAAAAGCAGTCTGTAGATACAGTAGTTCCTTAGTTTTTTGACTCTTCTTGTATTCCTACTTGTTCTCCTAGCATAAATCCTAGCTAGTAGCTTTGGGAATATAGTTGGTTTAAGGGCTGCAGGTCTACATTTACAGTTTGAGAGTACTATCAACCTAGAGAACATATCTCCCCTAACACTCTTGAGTAGTGTATTCTACTAAATAATCAAACACTAGTAGCAATTCTTAATTATTAATCTTTCCTTTCTTACTATAAAAGAAAGTTACTTGTCTTAATAATTCTTTCACTAGACTTAATAGTCTGTCTAATAACCTACTATGAGTATTACTAAGGTTAGCTAATGTTATTAATACCTTGTTAAGGGTATACCTGTGTACTAGTTCCAGGTTGACAGTCTTGACCAGAGCTTTCCTATAAAGAAAAGTTAGAGACAATTAAGTTAGTCAAGTTGGAGTTTTATCAAAATATAAGATACACTCACTTTGTTATCTAAGTATTAAAGAGATAGAGTGTATTGACAGGACTCAAGTTTGTAGGGTAAAGTAGGAGAGGTGTTACTATTAGTCAAACTGTAGAGTGTCCTTAGTATTGTAAGTACTAAGTAACTTAGAAGACTAAGGAAACTTAGGTTAATAAAACTAAAGCTCTAATAGAGTAAACTGCCCTTCTTATATACCTTTTGAAAGAGTTATGTGACTACTTGTTACCTGTTACTTTCAAAGGTTATATGTTTATACCAAGTGACTCATTCTGACTTGTGCATTTGTTTATGTACTTCTAGACTTTAATAGATTGCTTCCTGATTTCATTAAAGTAGAGTAGATCTGTTTCTGATTTAATCAAAGTAGAGTAGGTTACTTCTAACATTTCATAGAAGTAGAGTAGATAGTTTGTGCACACTACTTCTGTACTATTGTTAGTTCAGGTGGTCTGTACACTCTGAATGCTATAGATGGTAATACGTTAGCTCTGAAAGAAATTATTCAAATAATTGGCATTGCATTCGTACTTGTATCAGAACTGACAAAATCTACAGCACAGTCGACTTGAAAGCCCTTAGCGAGTGCAGTGTCAAGTTCCACCAAGTCGAAAGCTTGACGAGCTCCAAACTTGAGTGCGAGCTCACGGCTACTCAGGCGCATATCGACGGCAAACACGTCTGCTCCAAGGAAGACTGCAAACTGAACTGCGAGAAGTCCGAGTCCGCCAATGCCAGTTATGAGAACCCGTTCACCTTTCTTGATCTTTAATAAAGATTAAAATAAACTGTTAATTAATAACTCTGAGTTAAGCAGTAACTTACGTTTGCTGTCTTCTTAATGGCGTGCCATGCAGTAATGCCAGCATCAGCCATCACTGCTGCATGCTCCGGCAATACATTATCGGGCTAAAATTAAAAGTCAAATATTGAAGATAATAGACTGTACATAGCAAATTCTGACTTACCACAGGAACAAGTGCATGCTCATCAGCTACAGCAAATTCTGCATGTCCACCATTTGCTCCAAGGCCGAAAAATGGGAGACTGAGGAACTCCTGCTCTGCTGGCTCAGACGGAGTGAGCTTTATGCCGGCTTGCCTTGCAAGGCAACGGACGCAGCCTCCAAGACTGAGCACAGAGTAACGCTTGTTTACATGGATCGTGTTAACTTCTGATCCGAGGCTGTAATTAATTATCAGTCGAGTTTAAATAGAAATTCTTGCTATGAAAAAAGAAATAATACGCACGCGACAGCAATTCCGGTGCATTCATGTCCCAAAATATAAGTGCGAGGATCATCAGCGAATTGACTGAGTAGGAAGACCCATTAAAATAGAAACCCATGAGATAGTGTTAATGAGAAGAAAAAATAGTATCTAGATAACTTACATCAGAATGACAGACCCCAGAAGCCTGAACCTTTAGGAGTACTTGCTTTGGCCCAGGCTTCGGAATCTCGAAGTCATTCACGATCTTCAAGGTGGGCGAGTTTGGAACGTGGATAGCAGCTTGCATAGTGGATTTGACAAAAGATATAGAGCTTAGTGATTAGTCCAAGAGATTCAATGAAGAGTATACTGTGTTCTTGTGCTCGTCCAGATTTTTTTAGCTGCTCTTTTATGCTCACATTGGAAGAAATATTTCTTGCTAAAATGCAAGACGATGTACAAGGATGCTGCCACTATAATGTATCTTCATTCTGAAATCTCTGTGAGTTATGCTAGAATGGGTTTCAGACAGTATAGCGAAATGCCCAGATGCATAAAAATGGTAAGGAATTGGTGGCACACTGAGTTGAGTAATGTCATATGCACAGAGAATCATTCTACAGTCTGAGAAACTAGCACACCAGTGGCTTACTTACGGCAATTCGGAAATCGGTCAAGTCGGTGAATCATGAAGTACAAGACTCAGGCTAGCAGAATGCAGCATGGTAGTCAGTGCAGAATGGTTTGGAGTGAGACAGGTGGCTAGTAGGAGGCGCACGAATAATTCAAATCGTCTCCTTGAGGTAGAAGAGAATGTACAGAGAAGTGAGTGTCCATACTGATGTGCATATGTGTGGCTGTAGGTCGGGATGCATGCCCAAGGTATTCCTTCCATAACGCGGAAATCGGTCTACTCGGATGATTCACTGAGTGGTCTGAAGATACAATGTGTCAAGTTAGCTGCTATTAACAGAAGTGTTGCAGTCGATGGTTCACATTCCTTTGCCATACTTAGCCTGCAGTGTGGAGTCGTGGCGAGTCGGGATTAACTCTCACACTGATAACGTTGCAATGTCAATCTTGGATGATGACATAGTCCCCAAAGCCTGATAACGAGGGAAAGCTAGGTGGGTGTGAAGCTTAGAAGGAACACAGTTGCCATAGATCCAGGATTACCAACAGGAAGAAGGTCAGTAAAGCCACACTCGAAGCACAGCTATACTGTCGCGTATGTAACGAAGAAGTTGTGAAGCGGAGATACAGTAGGATAACAGTCCGTACCGCGCGGAGTGTTTGCTACCAGTGAGAGGATAGATAGAAGCTAGAGGGATTTGTTTAAAAACCTTAGATGTACGGCTCCGCAATTCGAGTTCGCTTCGATTAAAGGATGGAAGGAAAGATGGAGGTAGAGCTATTACTCGGTCACTAGTTTCCCTCATAGAAATTTCTGCGCGAAGTTGAAAAGCAGATCCGGATGTAACCTGAGCTCGAAAGCAGAGATGGATAGTAATGGCGAGAGGACACTTCCAGGCAGCGCTGGAACTACGGTATTAAGATGGATTGTTCTCTGTATTGGGACGTAAGATTAGCGGAAGTTCTGCGATGATAGAAAGAAAAGACTGTAAACGGAAAATCACGCAAAACCGCTCTAGACAAGCGGGCCGCAGTACTGAGATGTACAATCAACCTTAATCTTCTCTCTATATCAGAGTTCACGAACAAATACGACGAGCATCGTTCTCCCGCAGAATCGGGGTTACAACTCATCTCTAGTCTGGGAAACATGAAAGGTTATGGGAGCTTCGAAAGTCGTCGTGTACGACCCTTGAGAGAGTTAGCTTTAGTCTGATATGAGCTTATACGTGGCAGTATCATGGAACATCAGTACGCTAGAGAACAAACAAAGCGAAAAAATACCAGATAAAATCATGACGGATAAATTATTGCGCCGCCTTCTACATCAGAGAGTCGTGATGTAAGTAGAGACAATGGAAGGCACAAAAAGGCGCATTCGAAGAAATTAAACGTTTTGGCCGCACGCGTACGGTCGCGGGTGCTGAGTACATGGACGCGTCGACGTGGGAAGTTCATTGAGTGTGCATGCCGATACTGGACTGTAGGCACGAAACTGCGCGGGAAAGTAAAGAGTGTATTGATATAGATGCCGTGGTTGCAGGGAAGTCAAGAAGGGCTTGGGTGCGAATTCAGTTGGAGAGGAGACGGCAGCAAGAGGCTACCGGGCGCATATGGTCGTTGTCGTCAGTTCATGTGCATCACCACTGAAATCTCGCCTGCATCTAGGGAGTGAGCGGTCTGTCACGGACATATACTTTCAACGATGCCAATTCCGAACAAGTCTGGAAATTTTCCGAGTGCTTTGCGATGTGCAATCACTAGGACAAACTGGAGTCGGGATGACGTACAAGTTCTGAGAATTATCGCGGGTACTTGGGAGGGAGCGGGTGAGAATTCTCGGCCGGGTATGACCGGCAGACTTCTCCTGATCGAGAAGTTAGGTTTGCCGAGGGTCTGATGGCTGATGACCGAAACTGCCATATATGGGATGTAAACGCTAATCCGACCACGTGCGGTGTACATATTATCTTAGCTCTGCCCAGATTTCCGCCCACTGCCTCCTTTCCTCCCATCCTCCAACTCCTCGTCTCGGCACCGTCGACAGCAGCGAGCGCGTCGACGCTGATATCGACACGTCTCTGGACGTTCGCCACGACTAACCGTCGCCAACGAGGCGCGTTTCCCATCACTCCTTTGGACGCTCTCATTCGTCACACGGCCTGCTACTATGCATTCAGTTTCTGACCTCACGACTTCGTCCCGCAAGACGTCGGGTTCAGTCCCGCCGAAGCTTGTCGGCGCGTCAACAACTATAATTGGTGACAAGATGTATCTCTTTGGTGGCCGTCTTGTTGCAGAACGACGCATGGTCTCTGATCTCTACGTATTCGACCTCGAGACATTCGTTTGGACTAAAGTTCCTCCGTTTGCTGGCGACGACGTCCCCGGAGCGCGTTATTTCCACAGCGCTGACTCATGTAAGTATTCACTTTACATTCGCGGTTCTGCATGCGCGTAAGACGCGCAGGTGCGCCTTTAACGCGCACCTTCAGCTTCCATCCTTATAAGCGTGGTATCATTGCCAAGCGAAGCTGAATTCGCTCCGGCGGACGAGCCTGATGTGCTATAGAGGGCTTCTTAGGTCTTTCTGCTTACCTTGGAGACACCGCAGCTGTGTTTCTATTGCACGATTTATGATTCGAGCCCGCTCATACGCCTCGTGCACGCACCGATTATTATTGCAAAGTCGCGTGCGCGGTTAAGGAAGGTATCGTCGGTGCCGTTTGACATATGTCAAATATGCATGGAAGTCATCGGCACTATGCCCTACCATATAGTATCGACGATCCCTTGTAGCGCTGCTTGCGCGGAAAACAGTCTGATGGTCCGTAGCAGTGCGCGAGCCGCCGTTGCGTACCTGGATATTTGATTACTTACCGGAAATTTTGAGGTTGTCTTGGACTAATTCGACTGATACTTCTGCAACTTTAGGGCAAAACTATCTCATAATATTCGGAGGAATGGGTCATAAGCCAGATGCAGCCTCATCTGATGACCTAGTCGTCCTTAACGACGTCCGGTTTCTCGATATCACCACGTTCCGATGGCTTCCCGCAGAGCCTCGCAGCCCCGCGACCGATGGTACCGCAGCAGACCCTATTGACCCGGTAACGACCACGAATGATAATAGGAATGATTTCGTCCCGCGAGCGAGGTATGCGCACTTAAGTGCAGTGAGCGGTGCTCGTTTGTACATCGTCGGCGGACAAGACTTGCAAAACGCCTGGCTCGATGATGTCTGCGTATACGATTTGAAAGCTCACCGTTGGGCTGCACGACGGCCTTACCCGCGTCATGCTGGAACATACCGATCTGTTGCTGTTGCCGCGCAGCTACGCGTGCGAGATCCGGCTCGAGAAGGTGGGGAAGACCGGACAGCACAAAATTCGGCTTCAAGCTTAGGGCCACCCGGCGGTCGGTTCAATGTAGACAAGCGCCCACCGAGTGGGAAAGGAGACTACACATCGTCAGATAAACTTGTTCACCTTCCTTATTCGACGGAGCCGACCGATGAATTCCCGAATGATATTTTCTTGTATAGCAATTACAATGTACGTATTATTTTTTTCTAGTCTGAGCTATATTTGTACTGACTCTTGGGTAGTTTACGGATGTGAAACGCGAGCTTGAAGTATTCACCCCGAAACCGGGCGCTGCGGGTGAATTCGATATGAGTGACCGTTCAGCGGCGATGACTGGCACAGTACTACCGCCAGGTCTACGTTTCCCAACGGGAGCAATTTGCGGAAATCACTTAATATTCGCGGGAACGTATCTTGCTCATTCCTATCAATCATATTCAATTTGGGCCCTTGACTTAACGACGATGGCTTGGTCGAGGCTTGACCCGGGCGCAGCCCTATCAACGGGATCATGGTTTCGAGCTGCTTTGTGGAACTCTCCGGCCAAAGGGACGAGTAGTCTGCTCATCTTTGGCAACAGGCAAGGATCTTTGGTAGAAGATTACAACCGCAGGTTGCTTGCGTGGGACGACGTTGCTGTCCTCGATCTCGAGGCATTCGGCATCTACCAACCTCCAGCTCGGCAGCTTGACGAACGTGCACAAGAACTTGGTCTTGCAGCGCTCGAGGAGGGTTTGTTAGCGGACTTTGAAGTGGTTTGCGATGATGGTCGGCGTATTCCATGTTCCCGACGTTTGTTGGAATCGCGTTGGCCGTGGTTCCGGGATCAACGACGATTATTACGCGACGCTGTGAATCGGGCTGTCTCCGGATCGCAAGACCTCTCCGCAAGCGCAGCTGCAGCGCCTCCCCTCCCTCCGGAAGGCGAACTTGTTCCGCCACCAGTTGCATTAGTCGTCGGCCAAACTCCGGATGCTCGACCTGATCCGCGGATGACTCCACGTGCTTTGATGCTGGGAGAACCTTATGCTGTCGCTCAAGCTTTGCTGCAATATATTTATACTCAGGCACTGGTGACACCATTACAGCATGCCCCTGCAGTGCTTAGCCAGCTGCTCTTGCTTGGTTCCGCATACAATCTACAGCATCTCCAACGTCTTGTTCGTCATGCAATGCACCGCGCGCTTGCACCTGCTACGAGTGTCGGTGTGTACGAAGTAGCGACACTTTGCGGGTGTCAAAGTCTACAAATTCGGTAGGTCTTTCCTTTACCTTTATTCACCTTTTTTGTTTGGCTGAATAAGATTATGTATAGCGCACTTAAAGCAGTCATGGCTTCTAGCAGACGCAATACAGGACGCACACGCGGGAACTCGAACGCTGGTGGAGGAGGTGGTGCACCCCCACCGCGCGGCGGAAGTGGAGGCGGAGGAGCTGGTGATCGAGATCGCAGCAACTCCGATGCACAAGGACCTGGTTCGCGAGCGCGAGGTATGTCCGACACCCGTGGGCTTAATTACTCGCCTTATTCCGGAGGGGCTGGTGCAAGTGGTGCGATAGTCAGAGAAGGTGATGGTAGAACAGGTGCACGAACAAATGGTACACCAATGTTACTTGTGTCTCCTCCGCATAATCTAGTTAACTAATGGATCTTGTTTTCTTCTTCCTTTCTTCGTATATCATTTTTTGTGCGTGCTTTAGGTGTTAGCTCGAGGCGTGCTGTGAATAGCGAAGCGATGTGGCCTGAGGACGTTGCTTCGGATGCGGATGCGGACCTTGACGGCGAGGGTGAGAGTGAATTAAGCGGGAAGGAGACTGACGAGGACGAAGGTCCAACCAGAGCTGAAACTGCAACGCCTACAGCGGCGTCTATTCCCATTACTCGGCCAAGTCGTGTCAAGCATACGGTGAATCTAAGTATGGACAGTATCTACATGGCGCTTCAGGCTGCGGATGGTGAAAGCGGTACAAGTGATTCGGAGGTGCCTGATAGTTCGGTCGATCCTCACCTCCCGCCTCTTGTAATCCCAACTGTGGTGCCATTACCTTTGTCATCTGGTATACCTCCGGCGGCGTCACCTTCTGTTATCAGCCCTTTGCCGAGGTCGCCGGAGCTTGACTTTGAGGCCGAGTTGAGACGGGAATCTGAGAAGGGACGACATGGAGGGAAGCCAAGCTTAGAAGTCGACACTGTTAGCTTGGTTTCTTCGATCTCTCCTGTCCGCCGACGTGCCTATACAGCTCTTGCCGATCTTGCTAGTCAACCAATTCCGAAACCACCACGATCACCCTCTGCACGATCGTCTCCGAATCCGTCTCCTCGCTCAAGCTTGCTTGTATCATCAGCTTCTATGTATGCGTCGAACTCTACGCCATCGCCAACTAGTGCAGGTGCAGCAACACCTGTGCTTCCGCGATTGGGTATTACGAGTCCAAGCTCACTGTCAACATCACTGTCGATAGATGGTTCTGAACGTGCTGGAGGGAGCACGAGCAGCCACAGTGCACGACCTTCCCCACTTACTCCTGATTCACCACCATTACCTACACCAGGCGGACAATTCGGAGCCTCTAAGCATGCCTCGTTTATAACAACTTCGTACGCTCTGGACGCCATCAGCGATGCTAACGGGGCTAACGGGATGTTTGACGCGACGTCTGGAAGACATGCGACTGCGAGTAAACTCCAGCTACTGTCCTCTCCACTACGTTCCCCGTCTGCACCTTTGTTGAACATGTCTGCCTCTCAAGATAGCCATACAAGCAGTAGCGAGACGAGTAGCACTTCGTCTGGGATGATGAGTGGACATGCTTATGCGCATGGTGGCATGCGCGCGAACGTGCATGCGTACGGGCAAGCGCAGTTTGTGGATATCGTCGAACCGGAGACGGATAGTCGGGCTGGGTGGGCGGACTTACGGCCACCGAGGAACGGGATGGTCTTCACTGATACGACGTCTCAGCCCAAGCAAGATCACAAGCAAAGGCCGCCACCCGTCTCGATTCAAACTCCTGTCAATTCGTCGAGTGCTCCACCACCTTCGCCGAATGCATCGACCTTCGCTGCAAGTTTTATATCCACCCTGTCTAACGGGTCATCCGAGAAGCACAGTCCGACATTTGGTGGCGGCTTCCTCTCAAAAGCACGTCTCAAGTCCAAGAAAAAGAGTCCTCAGAGTCCTTCATCTCTCTCACCCAGCGACTCTCCACTCTCACCAACCTTCAGCAGTACAGTCTCCTTTACCAGCACCAAGGACAACAGCACTCTTAACGGCGACCTAAATGGAACTGCGGTCGTCTCCGGATGGGCGGACACCCGTGAGCTCAAAAAGGCTGCAAAGGCGGAAGAGAAACGAAGGAAGAAGGCAGAGGAGAAGGCAAGGCTTGAGGCGCTTGCGGCGCAGTTTAGTCGGGGACGTGTGAAAGGGAAGGATGGTGTGAGTACTGTATCGACGGGTTCTAGTGAACGACGACGTGCGGCGAATGAATGGGTTGAGGATAGTGCGGGGATGTATGGGGCTGGAGGTGTAATGGTTTGGGGAGGTTTGTAGGTGTAGACGCTGCCGTAGGTTTACAGCTTGGTGGCGGCGTACGTTGTTTGATCTATTTTCGGATCATTGGTTTGTGCTTTTGGTATTCGTTTTTTACAGCCCACCATCGTTTTTACTGTTGTTTCCTCCATCTCTTGCAAATAACCCTAATCTCTTTTTGTCTTACTAGACTCTCTTTACATGTACTTCACTATCTCATTCTGTTGTCTTTCGTACGACTAACTTGTCTAACCCCTACGTCTCTCACTCTTGTTCTGAACTCTATTTCGATTTTCGACTTTCGTGCTTCTTCTCCTGTTTGTTTTCTTGATTGTTTTCCTACTGTTTTCCTGTTTTCTCGTCATTGCTGTTGTTTCGACTCAAGGTTACCATACTCCTTAGATGTATACGTATACCAGAACATTCCTCATTTGTTTACCCTTTTTCTTAGTGTTTACTAAGTAGTCCTTTGTCTTGTTTGTGTTTTCTTGGCTTTTTGAGCGTGAAAGGAAGGGAGTGGGGAAAGATTATGTGAAGTTGATTAAAATTGCTGTGTGTCGGTGGGAGGTATATGTATAGACTCTGTAGCTGGTTGGAATAAAGTTAGATGTGTGATTGACTTATTACAAAGTGTAGCTGTTACAGAGTTGATGATGCTAGCCCCTGGTAATTGTCATTCACGAGAATGATTAAATGAACACGTCATTCTCTTTCGGAATAGGTTAACTGGGTTAGCTGATATATGTGTGAAGAGGTATTCCAAGGCCAAGGATACCTTGACCTTCTTTGCTTTGAAGAATTTCTTAACAATGCATGGAGTGATAATGAGCACGGTTGACTCTATCACATAGACCTAGCAGGTTGGTCATCCTATGCACAAATTTGCTGCAATATGTCAAACGGACGGAACTCCATGTTGACATACCAGAGTTGCCATGGCAATACTGCGAGGCTTGAAACACGACCGTAGACTTATCTATGTGTAGATTAGCAGTGTTGAGTTGTTCATAAGCATATGTGCCTGTGATTTGAGCACCTGATGAAGGATTTTGCAGTATGTTTTCCGACTCGGAAGCACTAAAGAGCATAGCTGTCAAATCTGCGAGTTTGATCGTCACGCGGATCCTGCATATTGTCTCATCTTTCCGAAGTTCGCGAACATGGAGGAGAATTAGATTCGACGTGGTGGCTGCACGAAGAAATTTGAAAATAAAATCGCAATTTCAGTGGGAGTTTCATTATCTCCGCGGCACGTGACCTTCCTTAACTTCATCAAGAACTTTGCAGACTTCAACTTTAGCAACCATCTGTCTTCCTTGCTTCTTGATCAATGGCGGGGCATTTATAGGCCGCGTATCAGTGATACAATGCACTTGACTTGGAGCAAATATGTTCGGCGTGAGCTTTATCTAGTAGAGATGATGATTCGACTTGCTGGTTTTCCGTCATCCGTGGAGGTGTAATGAATGAGTGAGAGATTAAAAGGTCAGATGCCTTTCTCCCCCACAAAAGTTCCGTTAGCTAATCAACTTTATTTTCCCCATTTAGCCTTTACGTCCTCGATTGTCGGGCGCCGAGAACTGAGATATGTCAAGTCGAAAGAATAGCACATCAGACGCTGATGGGAAGACTATAATCTTGATGCCGAGGACGCATTTAGTGGGGGTCCGGAGTCTGCAAAATCGAGTCGAGCACCGCGACGTTTTTCACCGCTACATCCATTGACGAATTTTCTACCCGCTCGCCTCGATGGACGGCGTCTATAAAACGTCCCAAGTTGCAGACGATGGTGGTGGCAGTGTTTCTGAACCGCCCCAGACCTCTACTAATCGAAGTCTTCCTCGACTTTTGATTCCTAGCGAAGAGGTGCCACTCCCTCTATCAGCACGCATACCGTCACCGGCGTCGCCATCCAAGCTAAGTCCGGTGCCGAGGTCACCAAAGCGCAATCCCGGGGACGAACCGGTACTAGACTCCACTCTGGAACGGAAGGACGAAAGGGAAGGCCTGATAGAAGATACGGAAACTTGCGTCTTTGGGATTTACCGTGACCGACGGCGCACGTACAACGTCCTTGCCGACCTTGCGATTCAATCAGTGTCCGAAGCGCCGCGTACGCCTTCGAGCCGTTCCTCTCCTACCGTCTCACCGCGCTCGAGTTTGCTCATTTCTTCTGCGTCTATGTACACACCGGACTCGAGGCGGCCTTCCCCGACTTGCACAGGTGCTGAGACGCCTGTCTTACGATTGGTCTCGCAGATTAACACGACGAGCCAAGAATCACTTGTATTAACAACAGATGACTCGGAAGGGGCTGACGGAAGCTCTGGAAGTCATGGTACACGGCCTTCTCCACTCACTCCGGACACGTCTCCTCCACCTTCACCTAGTTGCGAAAGCGGAACATCTAGACATACGTCTATGACCACTATGACGTTTGCTCCAAACATTGTTGGCGAAAGAGGCAAATCGTTAGACGTCACGAGGGACATATCCAACGACGTTAATACCACGAAGACATCGTCACCTCCTGAATCACCGTCGGTTTATTCATTCGATGAAGCAACATCTCTAAGTTGCTATTCAAGTGGGAGTATGACGCAGAGTGCTACAAGCACGAGTGTAGTCGGTGTTGCATTTAAGCAATCGAACGGTATAGGTGTTGCAGTTACCGGAGGAGTTGGACGCACAGATGGACTTAATGGGTATGGGCGTGTACAAATTGTCAATATTGCTGGGCCTGAGTCGGAAGCGCGCACGAGGTATTCGGATGAGCGGCATGAGAAACCAATTTGTACGCATTGCGGGTCACCATCACCGCCAAGAATGGCAATTTCCCAATCAAAGGTGTACGAAGACTATGCTTATAATCAGTATAACCAACGGACTCGTGCACCATCTATACCCCCACGACCAACGACGTCCAGTGGCATATTGCACCGTCTACATGCATCGCCTTCCATTTCGAGCACGATGTCCAGTATGTCAAATACGTCGTCTGAGAAGAACACGCGAAGCATTAGTTCGAGTTCCGGTGGTGGTGGTTTCTTCTCAAGAGCGCGTTTCAGATCAAACAAAAAGAGTCAACCATCTCTAGTTCCTACTACACCTACACCACCGAATACCCTCGCGCATGCACATTCTATCGCATCATTTGACCATCGTGCAGTCCCGTTTACGCCGGCCATCCCAACAGAATGGCACGTAGGTGCTGTTCCGTCTCCTCGGGAAAATCCTCGCGAAGTTAAGAAGGCCGCAAAGGCAGAAGAAAAGCGACGAAAGAAAGCAGAGGAAAAGGCTCGCAGAGAGGCATTAGCCGCACAGTTCAGTCAAGCGCGAAAGAAGTGTAAGGATGGAAAGAGTGCTTCTTCGATGACAGGTTCAAGTGAGCGAAGACGAGGGGCAAACGATTGGCTCGAGGAGACCGATGGGATGTATGGCAGTGCGAATTTGACATCATGGGGAGGCTTGTAGACCAATTCATTCATTCTGTTCTCGATTTTCCTAACCTCCACTTTCTCTTCGCCTATAAAAGGCGTGCTTTAAGTTTCCGTGTTTTTATTGGTTTCTAGTCGTTCATTCAGCCATTTTACCTCCTTTTCTACCAACGGTTTCATCTCTTGCACAAATGTTATTATTATTTTCTTCATCCATTCCACTCGTTAGAAAGGTATACCTCTTCTATCGCTTTACTATCTTTTCCTACATGATGTTGTATGCGTATTTTTTGTGACTCATGATCTGCACTGTACTTACTAAACAAACAGCTCAGGATCGACAATCGCCTACTTTTAATTGCTCAAGGCATGATTTGATGGATCTACTTGCTCATCTACATTGATGAATGTAAAGGGCATCAGCGGAGCAAGCTTTAAACCGACTGGAGTATACTTGCCACCGCCCGTGCCTAACTAGCAGCCTTAGCGAAGAAACGAGATGATCAAGCCGTTGACTATGATTGAGTCTTTTTTACGTGGGGCGCTGCGTCACGCGTCAGCGCACAATGAGATCTTTCTTTTTTCTTCCTCCCACTCGCATCTTCACGTATAGGATTGACGATTGCTGATTAGCGATATCAAGGTGTGCGGTGTTAGCCATAAAAAGATACGCAGGGACAAGACCTGTTATTTGAAATATTTTGATATCCTTTCTCCGTTCTCGTGCAAGTTCCCACACGTCAATGAAAAAGGATTGGTGGGCAATTTTGGTGGTTACTTGGAATGACTGTCTGGTGTATCATGCTCGCGCTGTACTTGAAACGTGATGACTGAGCTGTACCTCGGTGCTTCGGCGAGGGACGAGTCAAGGTAGCTTCGATGTATTTACTGACGTAGAGACCTTCAGATCCTTTTGATGGGATTCATGTGCTGGTCAGTTGTGCATAATGATCGGGGGTCAGACGGGCACCCAAACCTGGATGTTCTACTAGTATCCATGGCACTTCTCGGCATTTTCTCATCTGCGGACCTGCGGAGTCGTCCTTTCAATCAGTTCAATACGAATCAAGGATTTTTTTCCGGTTCCGCAATGTCGTCAAGTGGAAGATAAATGTTTCAGTTGCGGAGTCTAACACGTAAGTCCGACCTTGCATGATATCAAGAGAGGACACTGACACAGCTCTCACGGAAGCATTTAAGCATTGATACCTTTGACGAAGCAGCTCTCGCTCTCGGAACTTTAGCTGCTTGCTTGCTACATGGCACTCTTTCCACGTTCTGCTGATATTGAGGTTATTGACCCTAGCGTCGTACCGGAATGGGTCTCGGAAATAACGATTGGGCAGTTCTTCCAAGTGGCTACTGTTACCGTCTTGGTCTATGACGCACGTATGTACCCACTTAAGCTTGTCGATGCTTTGACTAGGCTGCTAAGACTCACGCTGCCTCTGTCAAAGTTATCACTATGGATAAAGAGGTGCGTGAACCGTTTTCATATCGCTTACTGATTAATGATGGAATGTTACTCCTCTTAGATTAAATTCTTCTGGGTATGATTATTGCGAACTCCTGAAACCTGAGAAATGCTGATGATAGGATATCATAGAGATTCCCATTGAAGACAGTAAACATTGTTTACTTCGCGGTATGTGTGGCTTGTATACACTATAGGATATTGTCGGTTAATGCATCTTTATAGATCCGATACATTGGAATCTTTGGTGCAATAGCTAGTTTGTTCTGTGCGTAGAGCTCATTGTGATACATATAATCCAATCGTGATCGTAATAATCATCTGAAAGGGTACACATATGTCCCAAACGCTAGCTTGTGAGTCATCTTGGTTAATATTTACTGCATCAATCTCTGAAATTGGTTTAGATGTGAGTGACAGAGTTCCGAAATTCGACGGTTTACGGGAGCCCTCATAATCCGTTACAGGTAAATTGTCGCAGTGGGCATCGGATGTAGCTAGTACGTTTCCGCGATTAGCGAGGTATACGGCAGTTCTAACACTTGACTCAGACTGGATTACGATCATCTCTATTGACTGTGAGAGATTAATCTCGAAAGGCAATCAGACCTACTCAAAATGTGTCATGTAGATATTCTTGTGATCCGAGTTCTTGCGCTTTATGCACATGGTGAGTTTGTCGATGTCGGCTAAGAACGTACTGACAGATGTGCAGATAGAACACTTTCAGCGTGCCTTATGACACTACTATTGCTGGAAGCGGGTTTCAAAGTGGGCATGTCCATTTACCTCGATAATTCGCAGCACAGTCAGTAAGCATCGCATAACTCTAACAGAGATAAAGTTTGACGTCATGTAGTTGTGGCCGCTGGCCTTGCTAATAGCAACAAGCATCCTTTCTGTGATAACATGAGCTTTCCAACGTGGTGGTTAGGGCTGATTGACTGGTATGTATTCACGTGAACTTAATTATTGAACTGGCTGGATTCTGAATACAAGATAGGGTAGTGCCAATGGTTTTTGGTGTTATCTTAATGGCTCTGGCTCTGTACAAGGCCGCAGAATACTGGCGAGAATCGGCTGGATTTCAAGGATTTACCCTCGTTAAGGTTTTAATCCAGGATCAGCTCATTTATTTTTCATTGTAAGTTCCTTCCATTTCGAACTGTATATCCACTTTAAGTGGCTAACAATGCATGTTATTCAGCGTCGTCTTCTGCGCTGTAATTAATATTATAAACTTCAGGATTGAGGTATCCAGTCCCTTTACTGCGAATGTTTTAATTTGCTTCGGGAATCCGTCGTTTCTCTGCGTCCTCGGCAGCCGGATGATTGTAAATTTGAAGGAAGCTGGAGAGGAGGGGCGAAATGTAGGCACAAGTTATAGAATCAAAACGTTAAACGACATGGAATTTGCTTAGACCATTAATATGAATGAGACTTCATCGTCTACAATTGCGCGAGCGTACGCGTGATCATTTGGAACATCACAAGTTTGCGGGAAAGTCTTATCGCCAGTTCCATATCAGTGAGACTACCAGTGCAGTACACGCCTTATATCTCTTTTTTGCTCACTAGCAGATTATGCGTGAGCGTCGGATCTTTCAGATATACTGTTCCTCCCCTTCATTTCGCATCTTATTACCTTTCACCAGTATAAGCGGAAAAAGGAGGGCGATTGAAGCATACAACTTCTCTTCCATGAGCTGCTCGCTCATTACAGGAGCAGTCTGGACACAAGATGAGATGTGATATCAATTACGAAGCGAGAACGAAGCGTAGAAGTCAAGTCATCTGTGAACACTACACACACAATGTCAGTCAAAGCTTGTGCCTTATCTGCACGGGATATGTTAGTTAAGTTACCTAGGTTGGTGTGGTTGTGCCAGTCGTTATATCCGTTATTAATACATTACATGCTGGTATGCATAGTGGTGTAGGTTAGTCAAAAGCTACGAATTATAAACTGAGATGTTTTGACCATCGGCATGTTCCGAATCGCCGTTTACATTAGGTTGGAGTGCCTAATAGCTGTGCTCAATTCTTGTTTCTGATGCTCTGTATTTTGTTCCCCAGCACGTCACCGGGAGTCGGAAGAGAGTAGAAACCAGCAAATACAGGGAGAGAAATACAGCTAAGAAATGAGCACCTTAAGTAGTGCAGATCCATCATTCCATCAGACAATCAAAAGTGTAAATAGAGTAAGCAGACCTAATATGGAGATTTTGAAGAAAAATGCACATTTCTGCTCTATTTTCTTGTGTCTCACCATCAACATGGAGCCTACAGACCAACATATGCAACATTCTTTAAAATTAAAATTAAGAATTATAAAACATATCTACATATTTTATATATTAACTATATACCTAATGTTAGTAACAGTATAGAGAGGACCCAAAGGCTCAGTGAGGGGACCCAGGCTACAACTATCCTACACAACAGAAATGCAGAATGCAAGCACCAGAACATAGTCAGAACTTGTAGAACAGATAGAGAGAGAGAGTGAGACAAGAGTAGAGTATATAGAGTGAGTCTAAGAGTACAGGACTATCTAGAGTAGACAAGATCAAGACTACAGGACCAGTCTGATCTTGTATGCCTATATATACTAAACTACACAAGAGCACTCAGAGAGTACAAGCTACTAAGAATGATAAGCCACAAAGAATGAAAGAAAGGAAGGTCAAAGATAAAGGTACAAAGAATGGACAAAGGGTAAGAGACTGTAGAATGAACAAAGAATGAAAGGGTGGTCAAAGGAACAGAATGATAAAGTAAGGAAGGGTAGTAGTAAGAGTCAGTATACATATAGTCTATAGACAGTACTCCTAAGGGACAGAAGTCCTAAGTTCTAGTACAGAAGGGTGTAGAACCCTTAGAACTAAAGGTACAAGAGTAGAGAACTGTAACATTACTCTCCCTCTAAAACCAATTGTCCCAATTAGTGAACATTAGGCTTGGTTAGTAGTTTAGACATAGGTCAGAATGGTAGGGCTTGGAAATCTATAAGGCTGAGTTTGTGTAGAGTACTAGGATGAAGCTAATAGAAGTCTTGGATTGTTTTAGGAGTATAAGTGAGGTTCTTAGCAGGCTCCCAAGTGTGCTCTTCAACTAAGTACCCTTTCTAGTAAACAAGGAATTTGAGTTTTCTGTGTAGTAGCTTAGTATCCACTATGTACTCTACTTTGTATTCTGGTTCAGAACTAATGAGTTCTAGTAAAGGTAGTAGAGGTCTTTGTTGTAAAGGAAAACCTAGATTATAGTACTAAGACAATAGAGCCTTGTTGAACACTAGGTGTATGTACTTCTATATTACTAGAAGTTGGAGTTTGTAGGTAGAGGCACTAACCTTCTTTTCAATAACAAAGGGTCTGAAGTGCTTGTTGTCTAACTTCTTTATTAGGTGATCTAAGGTCAGATTAGTAGCTTCTAGTATAACTTTGTTACTAGACTAGTAATCCTTAGCTATAAACCTCTTCTAATCATAGTTCTACTTTATAACCTATACTACCTTTTTTAAAAGAGCTTGTGTATCCTCCCTAGTCTTGTGTATCTGTTCTACAAAGTCTGTTACAGATTCAGAACTACTGTTCTGGTTCAGAACTGTCCCCTAGTATGAATGTCTCTCATAATTGAGGAAGAATAGGGACTGTTCTATTATAGAGTGTTACTAGTTATTGTGTACAAATTCTGTCAGAGTTAACTATTCAGACCAGTCTGACTACTAATGATTAATAAACATCTAGAGATAGAGTTTGATCTTCTGATTGACTCACTCAGTTTGACTATCAGTCTGTAAGTAATATATAGTAGAAGGGTTCCCTTGAATTCTGAGAAGTACATACAAGTCCTGTATGAATTTTGACTTAAATTATAGTCTACAATTGTGAATAAGCTTCTGAGGGAGTCTGTACAACTAGAAAACATGATCCTGATAGATACACACTATACCTTCAGAAGTGAGTTCTGTTTAGGTTAGAACTGTGTAGACTTGCTTAGAGAATTGGTTGACAATCACACAGATAGTATTGTAACCCTAAGACTCAAGTAACTTACTAATCAGGTCTACTAAGACTTCCTCTTAAGAGTGATCCAGGATTCAATATGAATGTAAGAGAGTCTAAACCCTTGTCTAGTAAGCCTTAGTCTATTAGTATGTATTACAACCAGTTATGTACTTTAGGATTTCCCTCTATATTCCTAACTACTAGTAGTTCTGAGTAATAAGTTCCTGTGTTTTGTGTTAGCCTGAATGTCCTACAGTCAGATTGTTGTAATAAGCTTAGATAATGTTCTCCTACAGCTTCCAATCCTTTAGAATGTACAGTTGGCCTTCCTAGTAAACCTGTCCATCCTTATCCTCCTCCTAGTTCCTAGCCTGCTTCTCTAACTACTTTACTATAACCTGGTCCTGTGTGTGTCTTAAAGCTTACTGTATATGAGTGACAAAGTCAGCATTCTTAGATTCAAGTTGAATCTCTCAGATTGTCTCAGACACAAAACAGGAATTATCTAGGAGAACAAGATTTTTGTTATTATTCTCCCCCCTTTCATAACCTACTTGTCTTAAGAGTAAATCAGCTTTCATCATTTGTGTTCTAGGTTTATAAGTTAGTACAAAGTTATAGTTCTACAGTTTTAACATCTAGTAGGTCTGACAGTAGTTAAGCTTCTAAGGTGCCTGGAAGTACTAGAGATTAAGGTGATCACTCTAAATCTTAAACTTCTATATAGTACTAAGAAGATATTAACACTACTCCTCTAAGGAACAGACAATTGTAAAGAGTTCCTTGTTATAAATAGGATAGTTTCATTCTGTTATAGAGAGGGATTCTAATTGGAACACTATCAGACACTACTTTCTGTCAATAAACTAGGACAGTACTACTCTATTTGTAAAGTTGGAAGAGTTAGCTTTGACTCAGAACTTGTCTACAACTGTTAGAACTGTTAATACAGGCTTACTAGTAATAGTCTACTTAAAGGACTCAAACACAGACTACTACTAATTACTCTATTACTAAGGAACATCTTTACTAGTAAGGTTGTAAAGGGGCTGAGTAATAGTACTAAAGCCTTAAATAAAGTATTAGTAGTAGTTTGTAAACCTAAGGAATACTTAGACCTGTTTCAGGTTCTAAGGTTACAACCAGTTCCAAACTACTGTTACCTTTGTCAGATCTATACAGACCTCTCCTCTACTAATCACAAAGCTTAGATAATCTACTAACTCTTATACAAAAGAACACTTTACTTCTTAAAGAAACAGTTTATTATCTTAGAGCTACTATAGAACTGCTCAGATTAGTTAGTAATAATACTTGACTGTCTGAGTAAAGATTAGAATATTGTCTAGATACACACTAACATGTTCTAAGTCAATCAGATCTGTAAGAATGTGATTTATAAATGATTAGAACATTACAAGCAAGTTAGTTAGTCTAAAGAACATTATAGTCAGTTTGTACAATTTGTAATTAGTTTAGAATGTAGTCTTCTACTCATCTCTGTCTTAGATCCAAATGTTATTGTATCTCTATTAAATGTCTAACTTAGTAAAAACCCTGAATGTATGTGTCTTATTAATGAGCTCCTGAATTAGGAGGAGTAGGTACTTGTTTTTGACAGTACCTTTATTAAGACAATAATAATCCTAGACTGAACAGAGCTTTCTATCTTTCTTTTTGACAAAGAAGAAAGAGGAGACTATAGAGGACTTTAAGGGTTGGATCTAGCTGTTCTAAATATTTTCCTAAAGGAACTTGTTGAGCACCTCCTACTTGTCTCTGTTGAGTAGGTAGACCTTATAATCCTTAGGTTAGAAACTCTCAGTCAATTTAATTATATAGTCTCAGAGACAGTGTTTAGAAAGCTAGTCAAATTCCTCTTTACTAAAGACTTTAGGAAACTCTCAGATGAAATCTAGCAGGCTAGGTCTATATACATTCTAGAGTAGAGTTGTTCTGAGAGGGTTCTAGACTGGTTCTGTCTTAGACATTCTTTAGATCAACTCTGTTCTACCTTGACTAGAATATGTGTTTACATATTTATCCTAGTTGAAGAAGAACAACTAGTCACCTTTATTAGAACTGTTAGTAACATTGAAAGTGTTTGTATCTACTTAGAACAGTAGTATAAGATAACTGTAAAACTTGGGACACTGATTGAATGTGAGTGTCTACTCTAACTAGTTAATAGTAGGGTTGTGAGTCTTAAGCCATTTGAATCTAATAAAGACATCTGTCTTTCTAAGGTTAGTGACTCTGAACTCAATACTTTCCTTATAATCCTGAATGGTCATTTGTAGTTGGACAAACTCAGTAATCCAACTATTCTGGTTTAGGGTTCTGTCTACATTGTATACTAGGATTGGAAGTAGAATGTATTAAGTAGGAAGGTAGTGTTCCTATATAAAGGCTTTATTAATGTACAAACTAGTGTATCTACTGTTTACTAGAGCTATTGTTTGGATCTGAGGGGATTCTGAGAAGGGAGCTAAGAGGACAGGAATCTGAAGCTAGTACTTAAAACATTCTCTAATAAATTGCTACTTGTTCTAAAGGGAATGTACAGCTTATACAGTCTTATTATCTAAGAGAGTAAGTATATACACTAACATTTCCTTATTAACCTCTCTCTTTCAATAAGGATAGACCTATGTCCTCAACTGTGAACTCAGCTAAGACTATCCCTACTTAATACTATAGACAAACTACTGAGTAGTAAACAGGGCTGGGTAGTGTTCTAAATATTCTAAAATCTTAGAATGTAGAAGTAGTAGGTTGGATTGTACAGATTTAGACTTGGATGAAGTGTGAAGAGAAGAATCAAAAGAATCAGAAGAAATAAGAAAACTATCTACTTTTGTTTTCAACTTTTTTCTTTTTAATAAATAATTTTGTTAATTTATTTTTTCTACTTTTTCTACTTTTTCTACTTTTCTTACTTTATTTACTTCTAATCCTATAGTGTCTATTAAATCAAAAGTGGCTGTTAAAAAATCTGAGTCATAGCCCTTCAGTACTACATTTACTGTTAAGCCTTTATAAAATCCTAGAGTGTATAGTCAGGGTCTAAGAGTTCTAAGATGACTTCTGAATTTGTAGAAAAGGCTTCTTACTACAAATCCTGCTTGTCACTCATTATTACTCTAATAACTTAACAGATATACTATTACTTCTATAGGCAGTCCTTAATTTAGTACTCTGACTTTCTGTAGACAAAGTATACTCCTTACTTTCAGGCTTCTCTAATGTTTATTAGAATAGATTGATTACAAATTACAAGCAGATCAATCTGAGGGCTTAGAACTGTTAGAGCCAAATGTATGTGTAAGCATTCTGTACAGACTTGATACATTTGAGCCACAGCTTGGTTGAAGGAAATAGTACATGTTTTCTACTTAGTGTAAGTAACTAGTTCTAGTATTATTCTGAGAATCTTATTAACCAGTTCTAGGTAGAGAGCTTTTTCAAGTATTCTAATAAGGACATTATTGAACCTGAGTATGAATCCTGCCTTCCAGGCCAGAATATTGAACTCCTAAAAGAAGGCATTAACAGAATGTTTACTCTGTTACAGAGATGTAAGCTTGTTCTACACATTGTACTTCTTATTCAGATTAATAAAGGAAGTATAGAGCTGTCTTATGAATTCTGAATACAACTCATTGTTCTGAAGTCAGATCAGACTTCTGATCCAATAGTCTTCAATCTAGTTCTAGGCCTAGGTGGCTGTATTACCTTCCTTTATAAAGGAGAGGATGAATAGGACACAATTGAGATCTAAGGATAGATTAGTTGAAATAGTAGCTATGTATAGTTTGACTTAGCACTAGAAGTCCTTAAAGTGTTACCTATTAAAGTCTGAAGGGTAGGCTACATACACTTTCTTTCTAGAATGGGTTGTAACTTCTAGAACAATTAGCTATAACTACCCCTAAAAATAAAAATAAAATAACTACAAATCAAATAAACGAATAGTTGCAAAACAAACATATTATTAAACTAATATATGTTTGAAGGGGAGTGTTAACATATATGGAATGACACATATAAGCAACAGACATACCTGAGACATAGCTACATATTATATATACCTACTGAATCAACAGACAATGACGCTAAGGAGAGCGAGCCGAGTCCACTATCCCCCCTCTTTGTGTGATCCCTCTAAGCCTCTCACATAACCCCTCTCAACACATTTTTAAATTTTAAACTTTCTAAACCCTTTTAAACTTTTGCCACCCTTCTTCTATTTATTACCCCTTTTAGTTTAGTACTGATTCCTTTGTAGTGTAAACATGGACCCTCCTACACCAACTGCCACCCCTACTGTCCTACCAGATTAGTAGTTACAAGCAGACTTAGCTTAATATGTATAAACCTCTATTTAAGAGGCCTTTACTAACTACATACTCTCAGCTCTCTTAGAACCTGTTTGCTGCTACCACTCCCCTTCAAACATTTATAAGTTGGCCAGACCTATAAGATGTTTGATTTGCAGATTGTTCCAACTTTTTTATTAGTATTGTATCTGTATTGTACATTGTGTCTGTATTATATTTGCTTGTGTATCACATATAATAATATCATTTGTATAATATAAATGTGTCTTTGTATTGTATATTTTAGTCCACTGTGTGTTAACTTTGTGCTTTGTTAGATATCTATTAAGTTTTCGTTCAGCATTGTGTTATTAGTTCTGTAGTTCGTTCATCTACCATTATATTATTAAGTTGTTGTTTGTTGTCTTGTAGACTGTTCAATGTGATTGAAATTGTTCAGAGTTAATTCGAAGTTTGTGCATAGTTTACTGTTCAATGACAGTATTGTTTTCACAATAAATTGTTTGAAATTGTTATTAATATCATATGTGCTTCAGAGACCTGCAGAATCTCATGAGTACTGTGTAAGATTGTAAATCGTGTGTTTTATTTATTAAATTTGTTTGAGTATTACTAGTAATTTCTTTTTACTTCACTGTGAAACTAATGAATCATGCTAGTAAAATGTATATCTGGTGTTACAATGATATCCTTCTTTAATCATTGCTGTCTGTGTTTGTCTACGTTTGTATATGCATTAAGCATTCAGGAATAGCTGATTTATGTCTTCAGATTGAAGCTTTACATTGATTGTATATCAGTAATATCAATAATACTATTTGTTTTTGCCAGATTGCTTCATTCTGAGATTGATGAGGTTTTATGCTAACATATATTTGTTGCATAGATATTATATCTAGCTGCAGGCAGCTCACTATGTGTCTAGGTGCATCATATATGTATTATATCATGAATGTATTGTTCGTTTGTTTGCTTTACATTATTGTTTATATTTATATATTAATGTTGCATTCTGTAATGAATTGTTTCTAATACATCCTGAGTAACTATACAATCTGTTGCATTATTTCTTCAATAGCCAACATAATTATCCATTGTAAATTGTTAGTAACGTACGTTTGTATTATTTGTTATTAACAGTGTTATTGTGAATTGTTGTGATTGTGTGTCATGAATATTTATTAGTATTATGGCTATTGTTCTTTACTTTTTCTTTTTGCAAAGCATAGTGTATTGTAACACAATCTGCATATAAGTGATATATCAGATTATGTTTACTATAATCGTCTCCTAGCATACTTTAGTTAATCTAGTAGTATGTGCAATTGTAGTATTTGTTCAACATTTTATTTGTTAATTGATTAGCTAGGTAAAGTGTTTTATATATTGGTTTTATTTATTTTATTTGAATCATTGTATAGATATACTTATTAGTATCTATCCAATGTATTTCATAATGTTATAATACTGTTCACGCTTGTATTAATTGTACAGTAAGGGCAAATTAATTGTTTGTACAAGAATTGATTTAATAGTTTTATTTGATTATATGTATGTGCTCCATACTTGTTTGTACAGTTATTATCTTTGTATTGTTCAATTGTAGTTGTGAATTATATTGCAATTATATTTGTATTATTGTATGAATATATTATTTATCATTTTATGTATGTTCCAAAGTATTATTTTCGTTATTCATCACTTTTATCCATGAACTATAGTCTGGATTGATGAATTATTTTGTTATATGACGTGATAATTGTCTGTATATTATTTATTTTCGTATTAAACACTGTTAAGTTAATTATATTATCATATTAATATTATTTGCCAAGTATGAGCATTCGTTTCATAGTGGAATTATTATTTATTTAACATTGAAGTTCAATCACATGTTGTGTTAACTTCTGTTATTTAGTTCTGATCAATGTAATTTTGCTTTGCATTGAATGATTTACCTTTGTGATCCATTATATCTGTCTGTAACTTCTATCACTTATTGTATTTTAGGATCAGTAATAAGATTGATGTTTCTGCATCATGAATATTCATTTGTTCATCTACAGTTTCGTGTTGTGAACGTTTGCACATTTGCTGCAAAGAATGCTTTGGGAATATGTGCCATTTCTAAGCTTTATTATTATTAATTTATTAATTATCCGTTTGAATAACTTTTATAAGCATTGAAAATGTTATGTGATGTATAACTTTTATATTCTTTAATAAAGTATTTTGTGTTTGACAGATTCGTCGGATTCATCACAGATTTCACTTAGTGACATAGTCAATATGTCTGTATTAAGAATTCAATGTTCATCATTAGTGTGTATATTATTCAATTACTCCCCTTCAATTTGAGAAGGTTATTCTTTGAGTAATTGACAAGTAGTGTAAGTACATAAGTACATTGTTGATTTCCTTTCATGTATTTGTAATCCAACAAGTAGTGTTAGTACTTTGTTGTTTTACTTTTGTACGTTTGTCAGTATGTGTTATAACAGTATGTTTTAAGTTAACTTGTGATGTTTGACATACATCATTTTGTTTAAACATTACACTGTAACATTGTGCTGTTTGTTTTATAAATTTTAATGTGATGTTTGTAATATGTCTGTAATATTTCAGACATGCTAAGAAATCTCTCTGCATGTTTGCAGTTACAACATTGGTTGCACATCTATTCATATCTCTGATAAGATGTAATAGATATGCTTACGTCTGCTTTTCTTTATATATTATACTGTCTGAGATAATGTGTTAAACGTTTTATTAATTTATTTAATCTTATTATATTATGATTGTTTTTGTTTGTAATCATTATAATAAGTGTGTCTGTTGTAGTTTTTCTGTTGTTTGTTGTACTAGCCATATTGGCATAGTACTTCACTTGTATATAAGCTTTGTAGCTTCAATATAAGTTTATTTATACTTTGTTAAAGTATATCTACATTCTATACAATTAAATATGTTCTGTTACATTGTTGTAGTAATGGTAGAGGTATTATTTGACTGTTTGCCATTATTATACGTTGTTATTATATGTTTACACTATCATAGGTGTAAAGTATTGTTATTTGTTTATTGACTATAATTGTGTACTCGTTCCTGTACCATAGTTACTATAATGTACTTTGTAACTTTATTATTATTATTATTATTATTAATTCGTCCATAGATAGTTGTATGCTTTCATAAACTGTATTAGTGTGTAGATATCAGATGTCTTAGATATCAGATGGATATCTGCTAACTTGTTTATCTCATATCTGACATGTCCAACATATCCAAGACATGTCTTACATTAATTGTTTGGCTGTGATATTACTATATGTGTTATTATTTTATTTATGCTATAATATATGTGTGTTTGTTGACAGTGTCAATCATTTGTACTATTATAATATTAATAGCAGATGAGTAGTGTTTGCTTTCTCAATCCTTCTAACGTTCGTCTGTAGTATGATCAGTTATTTATAATAACATGATCTCTGTAATATTATAGAATATTTTAGTGATTAAATGTTGCAGTAAGTGTTACTCATCATAGTTTCAGCATTGCCTGTATAGATTATGTTATTACTGGGCCAATGATCATAATCACTAAGATGACAATCATATAATGTCTGGGTCGTATGTAGTACAGTAGATTGTGTGTTTGCAGTGTATTGATTCGTGTTTGAGATACTCAGACAGGTGAGTCGAGTTCTGCATTGTAGTATGCTGTGTGTGTGCATGTGATGTGTAGAACTGCATGGAGCATAGACATAGTAGAGTGTAGATAAAGTGTAGGCAGGGAGCTCAAGGCTCATAACCTGTTGAGAGGGGTTATGTGAGAGGCTTAGAGGGATCACACAAAGAGGGGGGATAGTGGACTCAGCTTGCTCTCCTTAGCATCATTGTCTGTTGATTCAGTAGGTATATATAATATGTAGCTATGTCTTGAGTACGTCTGTTGCTTATATGTGTCATTCCATATATGTTAACAAAATGTAAAAGGGTCAGGACAAAGAAAAGAGATTAATGTAACAGTAAGTACTAATGCCCAAAACATAGGAGAGTTGTAGGGTGGTAATGGGTAGTCTTAATCTAATGTTAGTGACAGTGTAGAGGGGACCTGAAGGCTCAGTAAGAAGACTCAGACTACAACTATTCTATACAACAGAAATACAGAATACAAGTATTAGAACATAGTTGGAACTTGTGGAACAGACAGAGTGAGAGAGTGAGACAAGAGTAGAGTATATAGAGTGAGTCTAAGAGTACAGGACTACTTAGAGTAGACAAGATCAAGACTACAGGACTAGTCTGATCTTATACACTTATATATACTAAACTATACAAGAGTACTCAGAGAGTACAAGCTACTAAGAATGATAAGCCACAAAGAATGAAAGAAAGGAAGGTCAAAGATAAAGGTACAAAGAATGAAGGGATAGACAAAGGGTAAGAGACTGTAGAATGAACAAAGAATGAAAGGGTGGTTAAAGGAACAGAATGATAAAGTAAGGAAGGGTAGTAGTAAGAGTCAGTATGTATATAGTCCATAGACAGTACTCCTGAGGGACAGAAGTCCTGAGTTCCAGTATGGAAGGGTGTAGAACCCTTGGAACTGAAGGTACAAGAGTGGAGAACTGTAACACCTGAGATGAGACTTAAACCACTTAGTAGAATAATTGTGTAACAGTTTATACATGTAATCATCAGATTTGACAACTGTATATGGGCCTCTTGGCCCACTTTGTGGTTGAAGTTGATATGCAATTAAAATGAAAATAAGGCCTTCCCAAGCCTCTTCATCAGTTTCAGCATCTAACAGGACAAGTAGACCAAATATTTTCAGAATATGCTGTAACTTGGCTAGATGGTGGTAGCAGGGCATGTTTTTGTTATTCTAACAATTATCTATACCTACACTCATGTCTTAGATCTATGTAAGGCTGTTGGACCAGCTGTTCTCTTAGTTTCATTCTCCAACATGCAAAATACACAAAATACACCTTCTTAAGGTGTGTCTGCTGTTTCTAAGGCACACACAGAGATCCTACTCAAAATGGAAGCAGACCCTAGATCTACCCTCCCTAACATTCCTTCTGCCAAGGTAAATATTCGTCAGATACAAGAATTGAGCAGGAATGTGCTATTGTGCCTCACTGCTGGTTAGAAAGCTTTGCATCTACATTTATGCTAGAGACGTCGAGTGTGTAGAGAAAAGATTTGGATTGTAAAAGCAACACTCACCATCTTTGAAGGCATCCTCGTCTCGTGACAGGTATTAAAATAAACAAGGGGTAAGCTCAAATTTTCAGAAGATTGCATGCACAAATTATCCGTAGGATCAATCAAGAAGCAACATGTGAAGCACAGAAGCGACAGTATATCAGCAACTTTTCCTGACAGTGGCAATCCTTTAATGAGATCGAATAGGAATTGTGCCTATCTTCGATGCACAATGTGCCAATAGTACTTAAGGAGACGTGAATACGTTCACTGAACCTCACTGACTCACTGACTCGTCCACAATGGCACTCTTCCCACGGTCCGATCCTGAACCTCTCCCGCCAGCTGTAGCGCCTTTACTTGTATCCCAAGGGTTTGTCACGCAGTGCTTTCAGGTCTCAATTGCTTCTCTGTTGGTTTATGAAACCAGTGAGTACATTCTATGTGTACACCCTAGCCAGATCTCATTCTGGGACGCATTTCCACGCAGTTATTACAATGGACAAGGAGGTAAGATACGTCTCGTGTTGCGGGCCACGCTATCAACAGAATGCTGAACCTTGCTTGTATAGGTTAGGTATTTCTGGGTACGTATTGCAAGCCTCTACACAATTTTAAGCCAAGATCGTCTCATAAGTCGATAAACCGAAGAAAAATCCATTGAACCTGGTCAATCTCGTTTATTTTGCAGTACGTTTTAAATACACAGCGTCGCCCAACAACTTATGTATATGCATCTCATCAGAATCGATACATTGGGATATATGGAGTTCTTGCGACAATACCCTGTATGCATTAATCCACCACGTCAGTGGAAGTCCATCCAATTTATAATTGCAACTATGTATTACTATTAGTCAATCTGTTCAATGTATCAATGGGACTGTGAGTAATATCCTTCCTCCGGACTCGCCAATTAGAGGCTGATGCGAGGATTTCGATGTTTAATTCAGCTGTGAGTACTTCAGCACATGAGGTTGGACCGAGTGCTTACCGGAAAATAAAAGGCAATTTTTCCGTCTGGTCTCGGAACATGTCCAGTGAGTAATTTTCGCATTTCCTCCGATTCGGTTTTTCTGACAGTGGATATAGACTGGATGACGGGCACCTTGATCAACTGTAAGTAATGAAACGTCTCTGAAACCCTGACTTACCTAACATTTTATAAATAAAGATATTCTTATGATACGGGTGCTTGCTTTCTATTCGGAGGGTAGGTCGAATGATTACCAAAAGAAATAAATTGACCCTTCCTTCTATAGATAAGATTGTACCTATAGTTCTCAAGGCACTACTTGCACTGGAAGCCATGATGAGACTTGGAATAAATATTTCTATAACATTTGTACGGCACGGTACGTGCTATCTATCGCTAGAATTTTTACACGGGCTTACATCAAGTGAAGTCGCTGTGGGCGCACTCGCGAAAAACGCTACTGTCTGTGGCTTTGACAATTTGGTTTCATCGAGATGGGGTGTTCTTGACCAGTGCGTTAACTGCTTTTCCGAAATAAAATAAGCCAGTACTAAGAGCTCTGGCAATTAGGTCTGTTCCTCTAGTATATGGTGTTATTCTAATGTTGTTGGCAATCTACAAGGCTGCCGAGTTTTGGAAGTTGTCGGCTGGTCTCAGAGGGTTCACACTTGTCAGAGTCCTTATCCAGGACCAAGTCTATTATTTCATGCTGTGAGTCTCATTTGTACCCTTACGCTTAGCTCAGTGCATCAGGAGATTAACGTTATTACTAGCGCCATTTTCACTTGTGTCATGAGTCTATTAGAAATAAAAATTGCCAGCAACAACGCCTTCGTAGCGAATATTCTGAATTGGTTGGGTAGCCCTGCGTTTTTGTGTATCCTTGGCAGTCGGATGCTCATCAATTTGAAGGAGGCGGGGGAGGAAGGCAGACATGAAGGGACGAATCATAGAGTAGACTCCCACACTGTGAGCGAGATACAATTTGCTTGACAAGAGAACGTCAATTAGTTCTCGGTCTTTTATAACAAAGTATATAGATCTGAATGATCTCTAAATCAAGTATGATAGCAATAGAATATGTCGCGTCAAATGAGCTTGTTATACTTAGGGCACCAGAGAAATTTAAACACTCATTTCATCCTGTTACTGGCATTGCTCCTTTGCACTGTGATAGAGATGCAGCTAAGGCAAAGATAAGTGTTACAGCCTTATAGGTATTGCCGTGAGCGTACGATGCAACTGAGATCCATGACGATTTCTTATATCTTTTATGCTTAGTACTTAATAATTTAAAAATAAGGGTAAATGAAAAAGAATTGTTTTTTTTCTGTGCCCACCTGTCAAGGTATTATTCTTGGGATAGACACATGTCTCGTTGCAGGTCGCAACAGCTACTTTAGATATGCGTAGGCACAGCAAGGAGGCACGTGTGAAATCATTCCGTGTTTTCTGTGTAGATCAAGTGCCTTTGGGGTATGAATCGGTTCGGACTGACAAAATGGGTGAGTGAGACAATGTAGGAAAGGTCCCGTTATATCTGTATTGGACAGAGGATGGTGATCGGATCACTCAAAGGAGATTCTAGAACACAGATGGCAACGAATATTCCCCCGTTTGGAAACCCGATGCGAAGATACGCGTGCCACGTGTGCACAGCAATTGGAGTTAAGCAGATCTATGACCTCCCAAGGTAAACCTTCTTTCGAAATCAGAACTTGCGCATCAAAAATGCAAATCTAGTATGCAACGAAACGATATCTATGGACTGCGACCTAAAGGCAATTCGTTCACAGAGTCGGCTTCTCCGCTTCCTACTGTCACAGTTCATGTCCCCACCGACATGCTCAACAGGAGCTGAAGGACTGGATTAAAGTCTCTAATTGGGCTGGCTAGGTTATCTCTTGTACTTCGTGAAGGCGACGAGCAAGGATGTCGCTCCCGAGCTTCGAGGAAACAGTGCGTCTTATCCACGACATCCGTCCTCATTCGAAATATTGCACGATTACTGATGTAGAACCCAGTCGGGGATGCTGTTCATTGCCACTTTGTAAGTTGCCACCGTCAAGCGTATATCACATATGGGCACTAACTCGCTGCATAGCTTCACCATGGCGTATGTAGAATGGAATCTTATAGCGCTCGTTCAATGTTTCTGATCCAGAATGCACTAGTTTATGGGGAGCAGGCAGCGTCCAGCTTTATTATTATTTTGACGTGAGTCCCTCATTATTTCTTCAAAATACTTTACTGAATCGAAATTCTTCATGGTCCAGACTTCTATGAATGACCCCCTCAACCTTAAACTATATGTCTTTCTCGTGTGGTTAATCGACACTGTCCATCAATCGCTCCTAATGACGGACTTATACATCACCTTTGTGAAGAAATTTGGGGATTATTTACAGTTTCAGATACATAGCATGTGAGGATACATTTCGCATGCTCGACCATTCTATCTCTTATGGGTTCTTGTGAAGATACAGGCCTGTGGTTACGATTTGCGGTGGATTTGTGGGTATTATGGTGCAGGCCGTGTTCATTGGAAGAATCTGGAAATGTGCGTCTCTTGCAAACGCTACACTTATCATTATTGACAAGACGATTTTTGTAGTAAGCAATCAGAACAAGACCCTGGTAATAGTCATATCGATAGCGTCTGCTGCGCAATTCGTGTTTCACATGGTCTACTCTGGGTTTGGCTTCCACACATCGGACAATTCCGAAACCCTCATCAATATTTCACGCGGCATCAATGCTGCGAGCACCGTCGCGGACTGCTTGATTGGAGGCTCACTCGTTTGGTTCCTGAAGAAATGTCAAGTTGGAATCCAGCGCAGTGACTCAATTGTAAATGCGTTGATCATATTTTTCATGACGACGGGCCTAGCTACTGCAGTCAGCGCAATAGTGACACTTTCGTTAACCCTCGCATACCCTCAGTCACTCTATTCTGTTATCTTCTACCTCAATATCACTCGTCGTGAGCATTTCTTTAGATTTCTCACTTTTTTACGCACAAACTTACTCGTTTCAAGTTTATGTGAACACGCTGTTGGCAATGCTGAATTTCAGGACAAAATTAGGTCCGGCGCTTGCCAATGGGGTTGACCAGGCTGGAGATTGGTCTCAGATGAATCCGTTGCCAACGCAGTCTGTTCAGATTGGCACGGTTTCTTTTCTGGCAAGTCGTGCTAAGCATGATTCGTCGCGTATTCATGACCTTATCCAAGCATCTAGACGAGCCACAATGGAGTGAATACTCATACCATCGACATTGGCGTCGCAACCGAGACAAGTAAGCACGTTCAGGAGAAGAAGAGACATTCTTCCGTGAGTGCCGTCGTATCCCTCTAGTTATGTTCCTCTTTGTTTAATTCTTCCTTGCATCCAGGCTGGTGCTGTGACTATCCAGAGACCCTCGTTCATTGAAATAGGCCCGCATCCTAACTTAGACGACGAGTTACCAAAAGCAATGGTGTAATCCTTCGCACTGTCGTAATTTCCGCTTCCACAGTTGACTTACTTTGTGTCTCGTTGTTGCCTATGTAGAATTGGTTCGTATCTGTGTACACTTTGCTATGTGTCAATGCGCGGCTATATATAATTTATGTTAATTGTGCTTTGGAAATTTTCGAATTCAATGAACGAAGTTCAACGAACTGAATGAAACATCTCTGTTTACCTAACCCAGACCACAACATAGTCAAATAAAGGTGACGCGCTGCGACCTGACGTGGACCTCTAATTGTGATGACAGTCATGACACACTCAACTCGATAATCGCAATTTGGAATGACTTTCCTATTAATGAGTTTTAATCATCTGCGGACCAACGAAATAATTGCTTGATCCCCGCTTCAAGAATCAAAACTTAGGAATATTAGGCAGCTGCTTCCTGCGATATCCGAACTGGGTTGTGAGCAACGTGTGCTAGTAGTGGTTTTCATGAAATTGTGAATGGGTAATTACGAATACTTTATGATAGTGAATTCAGATCTGCACTCACTTAAACATTGTTTATCCCAGAGCCACTTGTAAAACTTCAGGAAGTCACATGGAGTCAATCGTTCACAGAACTATATGAGAGTATTATAGTTCCGTATCGGACCGTGTCAAATTGTATCAACTGTTCTCCAGTCCATGATCGGAGTGCCAAAAGGAGCTATTGTTGAATAGGCATTTTCCCATCAGGCATAGTACTTGAGCGTTGCAATCCATATCGCTGTGACGCGTATAAGTAACTTGAGCTAGGTATAGTTCAGTGTTTTCCTAGACTGGGATCTTCAAAAAAAACTACTTTGCTGATTATTTTTATACAGGACGATTTCTATCTAATTAATCATCCTTCCTAGCGTATTCTGTGCTCTCCATTCCAATAAGGAGAAAGCTATCTCATTCCACTTTGCGTTTAGTTTGGTCAGTGCTTCACTCGACAGGCGTGTACAGCAGCTTCTGATTGTCGAAGAACTCACAATTATCTATATACAAGATACAAATCTAGTATACAATTAGTTAGATGCTTTATCTACACTAATTCCGCGGACTAGAATTTGATCAACTCAAATACCCGGTTCTTCGCCTTCTTGTACTGTTGTCGTTGTGCTCAGAAGCTACTGCAAAGCAAATTTTGCAGTCTACTACCGAGGCCAACAAACAAGAAATGCCGCCCCCGAGCTTCGAGGAAACGGTACGTCCCTATCCGCAAATATTTGTACGTACACTTGAGATTGTGCACGTTTGCTGATGACTCGAGCTTAGTCGGGAATGTTATTCCTCGCTACTTTGTACGTCACTGTCTAACATCTGTCATGAAGATACTAACTTATTCCATAGCTTCACCATGGGGTACGCAATTACCACGCCTTATAAGTCTCGTTCAACGTTTCCGATCCAGAATGTACCAGTCTATGGGGAGCAGGCAGCGTCCAGCTTTATTATTATTTTGATGTGAGTTACCTTTCACTTCTTTATTAGCATTTTAAATCCGACGTCTTTCAAATACTTTCGAAATACAGACCTCTATGAATGACCGCCTCGTCCTTAAACTTTACGTCTTCTTTGTGTGGTTGATCGACACTGCCCACCAATCGCTCCTCATCGCTGATCTATACACCAGCTTTGTGAAGAACTTTGGAGATTACTTGCAATCTCAGATACATAGCAGGTGATTATACGTGTTGCGCCCTTGGAACGCTCTTTTCTTCTCATAATTTCCTGAAAAGATTCAGGCCGGTGATCACAATTTGCGGTGGGTTTGTAGGTATTATGGTACAGGCCGTGTTAATTTGGAGAATCTGGAAGTGTGCGTCCCATACACCTACCACACTATTTACTACGACTGAAATGAGGCAATGCAGTAAGCAATCGCAACAGGGTCCTACTTGTAATCATCTCACTGGCATCTGCTGCGCAATTTGTGCTCCATATGATTTACTCCGGGTTCGGTTTCTACATGTCGGGCAATACCAAAACTCTCGTGAATCTCTCACGCGGCATCAACTCCGCAACCGCAATCACGGACTGCCTTATTGGAGGCTCATTTACTTGGTATCTGCGGAGAAGTTACACGGGAATTCAGCGTAGTGATTCCGTTCTGAACTGGTTAATCTTGTTCTTTATCGGAACGGGCTTGGCTACTGCCGTCAGCGCTATATTGACGCTCTTGTTGACTCTCGCTTATCCCACTTCGCTATACTCTGTTATTTTCTACGTTAATATCACTCGCCGTGAGCATCGGAATTCTATCATTGACATATGAACTGAAATTCAATGACTTTGTTTCCAGTTTACATGAACACACTGCTGGCTATGCTGAACTTCAGGCCAAAGATAGGTGCAGCGTTCAGCGGTGGGTTTGGTCTAAATGAAGTGAGTCCTCGGATGAGCTCGTTTCGAGCTCAGGCTATTCACTTCAACACAGATTCTTTCCTGGCAAGTCATGATCAATATGTTATTGCGTCCTTGTGACCTTATCCAAGTATCTAGGCGAGTCATCTTGGAGTGAGTCCTCGTGCCAATGACATAGGCGCTGCAACCAAAGCATTCGATGACAATTTGAAGGGGCTATCTTTCGTTCTTTCGTGAGCGTTGTCTTCTTTTAGTGATTCTATCCCTCCCTTATAGAGTGCTCCTTGTATACAGGACCAAGCTGCGACTGATAAGAACTCTTCGTTCGTGGATATGAGCTCCATGCTTGACGTAGATGAGCTATCAAAAGTAGTAATGTAATTGTGTGGGAATTCGTCGGCCCTATTTGCATACTTATTTTGCTGTGAGCCCAATTAACAGACTTGTTGTGTACATGTAACTGTCTTAGATTTGTCCACAAATTTATTTCTAAGTTGTGATTAACAGTAAGTGAGTAGTTGTTTTAGGTTATAGACCTGTTGCAAATATAGTTTATACTGTGCAATTGTTGCAACTTTAAACTGTACAAAGTGAGATACAGTAGTGTCTCAATCCTAATCAGCTGAGGTTACAGTATCAAACTCCATTGTCATTTATTAATGTTATTTCCAATTTGTGCTCTTTTGAATATTATATTTGTTAATCATTGAATTGGTTTAAAAATGATAACATTACCTTCAACTGGCCTGCCTGTATCAAAGTCCATGCTACTTATTGGTTTGATTCTGTAGCTTGTTCCTTCATTGACACCCATCTCTCCGGCTTCTTTGAGGTTGAACAACATTCAGCTGCTGAGGACACACAGAAATGATGGATTTCTAAGAGCTATGAGGAGATTTGATAAAAAAAAGTCTGCAACCTCTACTCTGTAATTCAACACATTTAATATACAGTATGAGACAACACTAAATGAGTATGTTAGCTCTGTACAATTAAGCAATTTGCCAAACAGACAGTGTAAAGTATATGATTTGATCCTGAATAAGAACTTTCACAAGAGCAAATCCCTTGAAGCCTGCTGACATTTGCCAGAATTCTGCAGCCTTGTAAATTGCCAGGATTATAAGTATAATGTTATACACTATAGGAATAGTCCTATCAAAGTATTAGCAATAGGCTTTGTAACCTTGAATAATATACTAATCAACTATTCCCTATTGCCAGGGTGGCACACCATCTGTTGTACAGACAGTAATACTATTTGGAAGAGTAGCAACTCTATCTAATATGACATGAGCTTCTCCAAACCATATATAAAAAGAATAATTCACCTTTCTGTACTACACTAAGGTAGATAAACAATATTGTTTTCAAACATGCTTCAAATACAAGAAGAGCCCTCAAAATTCCTACAAGCCTCTTGTCTTCAAATAGCATGAGTATAATATTATTAATTTTCTTCTCTTACATACCTTAAGAGTAGAGTGTAAGGACTCAAATCATTAGAATATCTTCAGATGCTAGTCAATTACTAAAGTCAGAGAAATGTAAAACAGAACTGACAATTGATTAAGATAATTGTAAGCTAGTCTTTCCCATCTGTTAATAAATATTAGCTTGAAGAAATCATTTTTGTCTTACAGGAAAGGTATGAAGTCCAGTCAGCAAATTTGCCTGTAGATAATCTATGTATGCTACAATAGGTAGAAGTACTTCCATACTCACATCTAATTAAGCTATTCATTTATGTGTGTCATGTTACAGAATGAAGGAAAGACATACAGGTTGAGGTTCACTCTGTATATTGATTCTTAGAAGAAACTTGTAAAAGTACTTCAGAGTGTCAGTATAATTTGACATACAAAAGAGTACAGAGACAGCCCCTATTATCCTAACATATCAGTTCTTATAATAATTATTCTATCAATCCAATTGATTAGAGTTTGTTAAACTGCTCACCAGAAAGTACACAACATTGACAGATTTTATAGGAGTCCTCTTCAAAGCATGTTATAAACATTGTTAATATTAGAAAAGAAGAGGATTATAAAGCAAACCCAGAAATAATTGGTCTGAAGTCAAGTGTTCATATTTGTAACAAATCAAGGACTGTAGGGTTTACCTTATTGTCTACAGTAATGACTTCAAACATGGTCAGAAGTCAGTAATTCATAATAGGGAGAAATGGTACACTTACTTGTATTATACACTAAGACAGTCACAGTTACTACATAAAAGCACTGAGACATAGTCATTAAAGAAACCTATTCTAGAGCTTTACTAGGCTTAATAGGTTCAATAGTAGAGCAAGTGGACATAGTCATGTTGGAAGCAGTTTAGGGTAGTATGTTAGACCCTTTATATAGTGTAAAGTACAGTTGGGTACAAATATGAGATGATTGGAGACCAACCATTATAGATGGGTATCTACTAGTAATGTTCAGTTATCTTTGTAGGTTCACACTAGTATCTATCCAATCTAATACAAGGTGCCTGGTTAATAATCAAAATTTTCCTTATAGTCAATAGTTATAACAGAGTCTCAAATAAAGAAAGTTAAACTAATAGAGCTATATTTGTAGACTACAACTTTACTATAGAACATTGTTAGAATCAAAGTACAGATGTAATACATCCAACCATACTGTGTATAATGTAGAGATAATACTAGTGCTTTATTTTAAAACACTCTATATACTGTACAATAGCTCTTCTTAATAATTTAGCCAATAAGAGTAGGTATTAAAGATACAAAGAGAGATAAATTTGTATATATAATTGAGAAAGAGTCATACTAGATTCCCTACACATGTTAGGTGATTCATCAGAAATGCATTTGTAATGACTACTCTGAACTATAATACATAACAACACTTAGTAAGTGTGTCAGCTTTACAACATAAAGTAAGTTGATCAACTCATAGTAAAAAGCAAATGATCCAGTTATAAATAAGGGCTTTCACAAGTGCAAATCCTTTGAAACTAGTCAACATTTTCTAGAATTCTGCTACTTTGTAGATTACTATATATTGTACATATTAGCCTATATACTATTAGGACAATCCTATTTAATTATTAATAAAAACAATCTTTATACACTTGAATAACATACTAATCAATCATTCCTAATTTCTAAGAAGGAGTTGTATCTGTCTCACAAATAATAATATTATTTAGAAATGCTCTGACTACAACTAATCTAAAGTGAGCTTCTATAATCTTTTGTATATTTTTTTTGGAAAAGTAACTGACTTTTTACTATTAAAACAAAATATATTATTAAGAACATTTTAAACATATTTCAGATATAAGAAACATTTTTAAGAATATTAATAGCTTATTAATAACTATTATAAGTACAATATTTATGTTTCACTTTTTTACATACTTTAAGCATAGAGTGTAAAGGCTCTAACTATTAGAGTATTTACAAAACTAGTCAACCTGTCAAGCTTGTATTAATAAGTAAGTCACTAATATTTGTTTATAATAATTATAATTCAATATTTTATATTTATAAGTATAATTACTTTACTAGAAAAAAATAAAAGTCTAGAAGTCAAATTTGCTTGTAAAAGTTTAATAAACACTACTATAAATAAATGTGTATTATTTATACAATTAATCAGACTATGCATTTTTTATATACATTAAGTAATAGAAAGATATACATATTAAGATTTACTTTGTAAGATCTGTCTTAAAATGTTTGTAAAATTTTGATTAATACTTTAATTTGACAAATTGATCTACAAAACAGATTTGAGATAGCTTCTATTATTCTAATATATTTGTTCTTAAAGTAATTAAGTGAGAATAAAACTGATTTCAGATCAATAAGTTACTCACTAAGAAATAAATAAAGTTGACAAACTTTATAAGAGTCTTCTTCTATATATACTAAGGATCTTGATTAATATAATATATTTAAAATAATAATACACACACAGAAATATTTGATTTACAGTAGATTCAAACTTTTAGTATATGTATCTGAATATAAACTACAGAATCTACCTTGTAATTTATTGTATAGCTCTATTTTTAAAGTTTACTTGGAAGTACAGAGAAGAAATATTTCCTTAACAAATTCTAGAACTTTACTAAGACTTTACTAGGATTAATAGGTTTAACAGTAGAGAAAACTAATATATTTATACTATTTACAGTTTATTAAGTAAAGTAGGTGTTACAAGTACAAGAGTAAGAAGTGTAAAGGGATACATGTTTAAAGTAAGGAATGTAGTCTTATTGTTAGTGTGTTGAGGTTGTGATGTTTCCTAATTGATAGGAAATATTCTTCTGTAGGTTTGTGCACTGCTCACAAGGATACTAAGAGTAAGTCACACTAGTAGGGGTTCAGTAGACTCTGCTCATAGTGTGTAGGTGTCAATACGAGTCAACTGTGCATAAGTTCTTAATGAGCTTCATTGTCCTTAGATTGAAGTAATATATATGCTATCTAATATTGTATGTCTCAGATGTATGTCTCAGAAGACATGTCTCAGCAATAGCATATATTTGCAAGACGTTTGTGTGATTTGAGACATATGACACATTTATCCGAAATAAATGTTAACACTCCCCTTCAAACTTATACTAGTTGATCAGACTAATATAATGTTTGATATGTGTTCGTCTGTTGTTTTTACTAATATCATTTACATTTGCAATGTAAATGTTTCGTTTGCTTTGTATATTAAGTCCACTGTAAGTGTTGTGTTCGTCCAATGTATTATTATAATGTTCAATGTAATAAATCAATTGTTAATTCAATTATGATTGCCAAGAGAGCTGTAGGATCTCTTTAGCATTCGTTCGTTTGTAGTTTTAATATTATTAATGTTATAGTCGTCACTATAATGTTTTATCATTCGTATGATAGTAGTTTTCTTGTTCACAATTTAATATGATATGTTATAACTTTGTTTCGTTTGTTTTTCATGTCATATTGTTTGTTTTGTGTCATAGTATGTTTATTTCTT